ACCCCCCGACTATTCCAAAAGGTTCGAGAGGTGGCGTGACACTAATCACGTGACCTCGCTGACGCAACAGTATCCATTTAGTTTATTATTTGAAGTATGAAACAAACGCTATAATAACGAACGTGCTCAACTTCAATAATACTCGCTGACTGCAGATCAATTACTCATTGTCTACACATACATTATTGTCCCGTCACGTTGTCACCTTCTTTTATATACCAGACTACCCTATATCTAGTAAATTCTAGAGCATTCGCCAAGGTACAGGATAGTTCTAGAAACGTGGCGTGACACTAGTCATGTGACCTCGCTGACGCAACAATATAATATGCTCAACCCCCTCTATTGCGATTTCTATGCCTATAGTTACATCTGATAAAAGCTAATGTTCTTGTGTGCAAATTTCAGTTCATTTTAATCACGTGGATCACAAAACAAAATTAAATTCTTCCACCAAATTTACACAAGAAAAGTAAGAACTTCAAGGAAAATAAATCTAACAAAATTCTAACGAAGTTTTTACTAATTATGAACTTAAATTATTTCTAAAACTATTACTTTCATTATACATAATAAATAAAGGAGAAATATTTTCAGTATTATTCAGTTTTCAAAATGCCTTTCAGTGGGTTAAACCAGTTGACTCTTTTAAGCCCCAATTCACCTACAAGTTACCAAGTCCACCATTCTCTGACAAGACTTGTCACAGAAAAGATTATGTAGCCTGGGATAAGGAGAATGTTGCCGCTCTCCGTTCCTCTCCCATCAGACCACGCTTAGCTTCCACGTCTTTAGGTGAAGAAACAGGATTTCCTGGAATTTCTTCGTATATGGTAAGTCATGACACAAACGAGAATAAGTCATGGCAAAAGGTTGTACAATAAAACAGGTGAACCTTGTTACAATTTTACACCACCCTTTAGAAAATAAATGTCTGCATGGCTCTTAGGCTTTAAAGGGGACCTAGCAAAAAAGGCTACATTACCCTGTAGAAAATAAATGCCTGCATGACTCTTAGTCTTTAATCTAGTTTAACGTTACTTCACTATGTAAAAAATGGATGTCTGTATGACCCTTAGGTTTTAAAAGGAACCTAGCTAAACGGTTATATCACCCTGTAGAATATAAATGTCTACATGACCCTTAGGTTTTAAAAGGAACTTAGTTAAGAAACCCCAAATTTCTGCATGACCCTTTACAAGAAACCTCGGTAAAAATTTACATTATCCTGAAAAAACATTAAATTCCTGCATGATCCCAGATATGAAACCTAGCTAAACGTTTGCACCACCTTGTAGAAGTTAAAGATTTAAAACGGCCCTTTAGAAGAAACCTTGCTACAAGTTTATATTACCCAGTAGAGCTTCTCAGATCTGTACAATGAACCTAGAAAAAGTTTGTATGACCCTATCACAGGAGCCTTGTTCAATAACTACAAGACAGTGTGATGGATCCTTTCTAAAATTCTTAATGATACTATCGGGAGAATTTTGCAAAAATTCTGAATGATGATGTTAGGGACACCTTCTTAAATTAATGCACGACCCTATGGGAAGAACTTTGCTATAACTATGCATAACGCTGTGGAAGGATTCTTGGTACAAGTGTGCATGACCCTCTGGGAGGACCTTGCTACAATTCTGTATGACGAGAAAAACCTCCTTACAGGCCTGCATAATACTGTGAAAGGAACTTTTTTCCAAGACTACCTGGAATACAAAACATAAAATAAGGCTTGTACTTTATCTATTATAGTCTAAAACTACAGGTAAAATTTAATGTAATTCTGAAATGTTTGAAAATTCTAACCTCTAGTCATTCCAACAAAGAAGTTTTGAACATAGAAATCTTTGCCATTTAACTAATACAATAGGATTTTTAAACTTCTCTTTTTAAATCCTTTTCCTATTTTGATATATGCAGTGCTTTTTTTTCTATTGTAAATATCTACCATTTATGGAATTCAACTGTTGGTAGACAGTTAAAATAATGAAAACATTAAACTTGTTCTTTGACATTGGAATAAATTCAAAGGATAATTTTTCTTATTGCTAGAATCCGTAACTGTTTTCCATTTCGTACCTGATGCACCAATATACTGAATCCATTCTTCTTTATCTTCATTTTAATTTGTTAAAATAGTCTGACTACAAGTTTCCATTTAACACTGAGCAATTATTGCCGTTCAAACCTCGAGAAGAATATATTCCGCCTAGTGGTCCCTTTTGTGGTTTGACTACATACAAGCAAGACTTCATAGCTAAGGAGATGAAGAAGCCACTTCTCATACAAGAATCAAAGAAAGCATGGCCACAACCTCATCCTTTCCAAGGTGTTAGCGTTACACATCAGGATTACCAAACCTATGCAAATGGACGGCCAGCAAGCAATTGTAAACCACTTTTAAAGTATGAACCACCAGTAGGCAATCTTGAAAGCAAGACAATTCACAGACAACACTTTGTCGAGTGGGAGCTTCCATTCCGTCAGAATCTTCCTTGGGCAGCACGTCCAACTTATCGACCACCTAATGTACCCATGGAGAAAAACACCCTTTACCAAGATTCGTTTCACTTCCCAAAACCACCAATATCAACAAAACCTGTAAAACCAAAGGTTTGCACGTTTTCTTGGAAATATTATAGCTGTTAACCGTCTGTCTGGTTTTATTCTAACAAAGAAAGTTGTAAAACTAAAGGACTGCATAATTTCACTGAAATATTATAGCTGTTAACCGTCTGTTTGGTTTTGTTCTAAAAACAAAAGTAGTAAACTGAAGGATTGCATACTTTCACTGAAATATTATAGCTGTTAACCGCCTGTCTGGTTTTATTCTAACAACGAAAGTTGTAAAACTGAAGGACTGCATACTTTCCCTGAAATATTATAGCTGTTAACCGTCTGTTTAGTTTTGTTCTAAAAACAAAAGTAGTAAACTGGAGGACTGCATACTTTCACTGAATTATTATAGCTGTTAACCGTCTGTTTGGGTTTGTTCTAAAAACAAAAGTAGTAAAACTGAAGGACTGCATACTTTCCCTGAAATATTATAGCTGTTAACCGTCTGTTTGGTTTTGCTCTAACAACAAAAGTTGTAAAACTGAAGGACTGCATACTTTCACTAAATTATTATAGCTGCTAACCATTTGTTTGGTTTTGTTCTAACAACAAAAGTTGTAAAACTGAAGAACTGCATACTTTCACTGAAATATTATATCTGTTAACCATCTGTATGGTGTTGTCCTAACAACAAAAGTTGTAAAACTGAAGGACTGCATGCTTTTACTGAAATATTATAGCTGTTAACCATCTCTTTGGTTTTGTCGTAACAACAAAAGTTGTAAAACTGAAGGACTGCTTATTTCCACTGAAATATTATAGCTGTTAACCATCTCTTTGGTTTTGTCCTCACAACAAAAGTTGTAAAACTGAAGGACTGCATACTTCCACTGAAATATTATAGCTGTTAACCGTCTGTTTAGTTTTGTCCTCACAACAAAAGTTGTAAAACTGAAGGACTGCATACTTCCACTGAAATATTATAGCTGTTAACCGTCTGTTTAGTTTTGTCCTCACAACAAAAGTTGTAAAACTGAAGGACTGCATACTTCCACTGAAATATTATAGCTGTTA